TGTTGTTACCTTTTGAAGTGCCATGTTGATCATTGCTACGGTATTTGTTCATTGCTATAGTTTGAGACTTGAAATATTATAAGGGTTAACTTTTTAATTTGCTATTTTGGTTAGATTTTAGTCTAATACAAGGTTTGATATTAGAAGATGCAACTATATTGGTCATAGAATGTACTATCTTAATCTCAATTTAAACCATCTATTTGCTATATATCTACATGATCTAATTTTATTCATTTTTGATAACATTATTTATTTGGTAGAATTTTTTAATTTTTTTAATTAAAAATATCTTTAATTTTTAATGAAAGGGATAGAAATAGTCAAGTACCCCAATATAATAATGACTTGGGGATTGATTCTTTTCAAATTCCAATAATGAGTTGGGGAGTAATTATTTCCAAGGAGTACCTCTTTTCAAATTCCAATAATGAGTTGGGGAGTAATTCTTTCCAAGGAGTACTTGCGTTGGAATAATGAATGGAGTATCCAAAAGAAAAAATGCTAGGGTACACCTTTGGTCTATCCTATTTGTCCCTCACCCCTCTTCCACCACATAAATGGATAAAAATTTAAAAATAAATAAATGGGGTACACCAAATTCATTCAAGGAGTACCTATCTTGGAATATACAGAATATCCAAATTTAAAATTTTAAAAAAATCAAATGAAAAATTAATATCCCTGCAATAATAATGATGTGTTTCATACATCAAACTAGGGTTGCCTCTTCCGTGACTGTTTGGTATTTTTAAAGAACTCGTACCATATCGTTACTATTCAAATGACTCGGTATTAAAGAATTCATGACAGTTTAGTGTCGTTTTGTAGAAAAAAATATCGTACCATTTTCACAAATTTTGATTTATTACTTTGGGAAAAAAATGTACAGAATTATCAAAAAAAATTTAAATTGGTAGTTCCATTCTAGAAAAAACAATACAGATAATAGAAGATTATCAAAACTATTTTGATTTTAAATTTTTTATAATAAAATTAGAAAAATAAGAAAAATTTGAATAATGAAGGAAAAGGTGAGGGATCTTATATAAAGTATTACTAGTATCACACTCGTGCGTTGCACGGTTCATAGTTATGGTACTAACTTAGGATCATTTTTAGAAATATAAATGGTTATATAATGGAATGTAGATATTTCATTATTTTAAAGTACAAAAGTAAAATGATTTACAAATTTCGAAAGACTTCTTTATAAACTACATCACTCGTATTTTATATGTATAATTTGTGTGAGCATTCACTTCGTCATAAATCAGAATCTTCAAGCCATTGCGATTTATTACTCTTTAAACTGCAATATACACTTTCCCATGACTAAATACCAGTTTCCGTAACAATAATTCAATATGTTTCAGATATTATTCTTGATAATAATTCAATAATTTGACTTATCTAAGTAATAATTCAACATATTAATGTATTTATTTTGGAATTTGTATTTTTTAATTTTATTTTCGTATTTAAGTGGTACCATTAACTTACCCTATGGTATTTATTTTCTATTTTATTTTAGATCACTTACCATTTTTACACGTATCCATGCTTGTAAATTATAGTATTAATAGTATTTATTTTAGAATACTTATACCATTGTTACATGTTTCCATGCTTATAATATTAATAGTATTAATTTATAATTTTTTAATTTTTGCATTTAAATGGTACCATTTGCTTAATGTACCATATTTATTTTTTAATTTATTTTATAACAATTACCATTTTTACACGTTACCATCCTTGTAAATTGTAGTATTAATTGATCGTATTATTTTGTAGTTTTCTATTTTATTTTTTT